TTGAACACTTGTATTAAGGTTTATGTTGCTTTAAATGAATATTTTACATTATGTTTGTTTATGGATGTACTATGTGTGAATGATATTCCAGACGCCTCGTATAGTATGGATGTGTTGGACTCCGGTTGACTATTGGTGTTGTACGGCGGGTTGTTGACGTGTCCGGGGTAGGACTGGGGCGTGACACTACAAGCTCTACAATCTAAACTCAAAAAAGCTTACAATAAGTTGTGATGTAGAGTTTGGTGAAGAAGGCTCGTGTGATTAGAGAAGCAATGGCAAAAAATATTATAAGGTTAAGTGTTGAGATTAAGAAAGGCTCTTTACAAACTTAAACAAGCACGAGGAGCTTAGAATAGCAGAATTGACCAATTCTTCCAATCTAACGTATTCATGAAGTGACCACAAGAACATGCTCTATATGTAACGAAAAATCACCAAGGGCGCATATTGCTCATGTGCATATTTGTAGATGATTTAACCTTTACTAGTAATAACATGACAATGTTCGACGAGCTTAAGCAAGTCGTGACTAGGGAGTTTGAGATGACCAACATTGGTCTTATGAGATACTACTTTGGCATCGAGGTAAAGCAAATGAATGATATTTGAGGAAAGCGCTCAAGAAGTTCACCATGAAGAACTCCAAACCTGTAAGTACACATATTGAAAGTGGACTGAAGTTATTGATTTATGATGATTATTGAAAATTCACCGGTCCAACTTGCTTTAGAAGTCTTGTGGGGAGCTTAAGATACTTACATGTACAAGATCAGATACTATCTTCCGTCTAGGACTTGTTAATCAATACATGGAGGCTTATACAATAACCAATGTAAAGGTCATATAAAAGATTTTATGATATCTCAAAAGCACCATTGAGTATGGGTTGTTTTACTCTCCACTTGATGAATTTAAGTTGGTTAGATTTTGTGATAGTAATTGGGTGTAGATAATGATGACCACAAGATCACAACTAGGTTCATGTTCTTCATGAGAAACACCACTTTCACATGTGCTTCGATGATGATGCAATTGATTATTAAATTTCTCACTCCACTTATGAAACTGGGTACATTGCAGCATCATCAAGTGTTGCCTCGCCGTCCTTCACGCGACTGAAACACGTCCATCAATTTCACTTTCGATGTAACGTCATTGCCTTGCCATCATTTGCGCGACTGGAACTCGTCATTGCCTCACCGTCTCCTTGTGTTTCCGTCCTCCTACCCACGCCAACAATGTCCATGGAACATGTCCATCAATTTTCAGATCTAGATCCGCGACGGAGGCTAGGGTGGGGCTTGGTGGGGTCGTGGTGGGGTTGGTGGTCGCTGGTTGGGAAATGACGGGGATGGGGCAGTGCTGAGAGCAGGGACTGGTCATCGGCTATGTCGGCAGCGTCTGAGGGCTGGCTAGGTGGAAGTCACAACTAAGGCGACGAAGACCGGGGTTGGGGCTGAAAGTGGTGATTGGTGGTTGGGTGTCACTGGGTACGTAGTGGCGGCGTCACTGTACTCTGATGGCATCACTGTGGCGGCGTTACTATGATTGGTGTCACTGTGGTCAGCGGCGATCACCGATGGGAGGTGGTGGTGGATGTCACTGTAGTGTGTCACTAACTCACTGTAGCAATGGGTAAATTTGTAAGCTTATTGATGATTAGTCACTATTTTGGAAAATTTAAAAAAATATCACTTTTTTATCCATTGTTCATTTATTAGTAATATTCAGGTCAAACCCCCATTTTATGACTATCATAGTACTACATATTTCTTTTTATGACTTTCTTTACATAATCAACTTCTTTATTGAGTTATTAAGAGGGTGTTTATTATCATAGATGTTTTTTAGTTTCCAAGAAAACCTAAAAACGGGGGGAGGCAGGAAATGTGTTTACTGTTTATAAAAAAAGTTTGTTGGAAAACAGAAGAAAGACAAACATGAAAATGCGTTTACCAAATCATTTTCTAGAACAACAAAAAAAGATTTCTCCGTTTTTCTGAATGAACTGGAGAAGTAAGTTTTTGTAGTTTCTCCAAATCTGAAATACGCGAATACAATTACATACTTACGTCTAGTGGTGGATCCGGTCTCGTTTCGGTATCGGTTCTGAGCCGGTCAGTTCAAAGACAAGGCAGTACTAGTCTGGTTTGGTTAACTAACGACCGGGCAGTCCCGTTCGGTCCGATCAACAATTGGGCAGTCCCGGTCTGGTCAACGATATGACGGACCTTATCTGGTCCGGTTGACGATCCGACGGTCTGGTCCCCATTTTTTAAAATCATTTTTCCAAAGTCAAAAGTTTCAAAAGAGCCGTTGGGTTGCCAACCAATATGAAAAATGGAAAAAAGTTAGTCAAACTAGCTGTTGGGATCGATCAGGGTTGGTCGGTTTCAGTCCAATTTTCTTATACCCGGGACAGAATACCCTATTTATTGGGTTTTACTAGATTTAGATCCGGACCAAGGCCGTACTTTTGATCTCCTAGACAGCCCTAGAACCGGGTAAAAGAATTTGATGAACATGTTTTCATATTTGAAAATGGAAAATTTGAAAATGAAAACAAAAAATTAGAGATATAAATAATGGAAAATTAAAATAGAAAATCGGAGAGCGGAAAACAGGAAAAAAACAGGAAAATATCTCTATTAATAAATGGGCCCCAAGTTTATTTATTTGTGACCAAATCAATTAGAAGTAATTGAAGTTTTGAGACGAGTAGAGACATTCTTATTTTTACTAAAACGAAACATGGCTTACTTATTTACTAGGAAAAACTTAATTGTCATGAATTGGCATGAATCTAAAATATTATAAACACCAATGAAGGTTAGGATATTTTAGGTATAATAAATGTGTTGGTGTAACACAAAACAATATGCTCTTGTACATTATGCTCCCATCATTATACCACATATTTTTACTCATGTTTTCTTCTGTTACTTCCGTTAAATCCATGACTTAGCCGTCTATGCCTTCCGTCTTCATGTTGTTCCTTACGTATTTACTTTATCTTTCTCATTTAATTGTTTCATTTAATTTTGAATATTAAATTCACTTATTGTGGTACCCATACTCTCTAAATTGGAACGGACAAATGGTTTAGCCTAGATACGAGTTGGAGGAACGTTATTGAAGACCAATTTTCTCACTCACTTTCTTTTATTATTGTTGTTGTTGTTGTTGTTGTTGTTGTTATTGTTGTTATTGTTATTATTATTACTACTACTACATATACTACTACTACTTGGATTTTTTATGAATAGTATGTGCGATTTTTTATATTACGTATTTGCATTCTCTCATCATACTCAATATCTTGAATAATACTTCGTAATACATAATGATAATTGGCATTTTTCCCACTCAATTTTTAGCCTAATTATTTATACTTCCACTAATGTAAATGACATGATTGTTTTAATTTACTATTCCAAACTTTTGTCATTCATATTTATCAACTACTTTATTAATAATTGTCTCAGATCAAAACAAGAATCATAAAATGGAATAAAGATAGTACTATTTACCGACGAATATTAGAGAAATAGAAGTTATCTTGCATATTAGTGACTTTTATATATATTTATGTTGATCTTCGTTTACTATACCTTTCATTTCATATCTAGTGTATATCACGTGAATACCTCATATTAGATCGTATATTAAGAACCATCAATAATTAGATATGTATAAGATATTTCTCACTATGCTAATGATACTTTTTATTATGAAACTAGGAAAATAGGGTCTAGCTCATATGAGGATTTGCATTTATTATATTTTATTTTTGGGTCATCTTTCGTATGAAGGAACATTAAATACTCTAATTTTAAGTTGATACAAATGTTAACATGTCAAATATAAAAAAAAATTATATCAAATTAACATACAATATACATATTTCTCAATAAAAACACATTGGACATTTTATTCAATCGTGCAACGTGCGTGTTAAAAACTAGTTTAATGTATATGAGGCATCTGTGCTAATTTTATGTCTCACAATGTATTTATCATTTGACACAGATTTAAGTATTTAACAGGATGAGTAAATCCAAGACAAATGTGGGAGAAAATCCATGGCAAAACGGTTTTGTTATGAGTTATTTGGAATGGAGTGACACTAAAAAGTTGTAACAAACTCAGGCATTTTTGTAGTGTTCTGGAAAAAATGCACATCGCCAAACGTAAAAATCGGACTATTGCAGATTTACAGTTATTTAAGAAGGATAAAAAAAAGAATTTAGATATATGGAAGCATAATCTGTTGATTTCAAGTTGAATCCTTTAGAACGATAAAAAAAAGTTTTATCCTCCAGACAAATTAAATTGTAGCTACGATTTAATAATTTTGGACTAACGCGAAAAAAGTTTCCGTAGTTTATCACACCTTTTCTTGAGTTTTGATACTCGACGTTGAAATTTTCATTTCCAGTGCTTCCATTATTGTGTGAAAGACACTTTGGTATCCGTCTTTGAAAATTTTCATATTTATTCATTCGATATTTTTTTACCCCAGGGAGCGTTGGGGGAAGGACAGTTTGGGTGGCCTGGGGTAAACTGAGATCAATCTCACTCCATTGAGAATTGAACTCGGGACCCCCATAAGGAAGAGTGAGTCAACCAGCTGATCTGAGCTGATCTGCTTCCTCTCATTCGATTTTAATAAAAGTAACACTTTTGATTCTCCAACCATTATAAAAATAACATTTTTAGTCATCCGCTTGCTGTGTTTAAGGATGTTTTTACTTGGACTGTAATTTGCTGGTCTGGTCCGGACTGATAATGTCTGGTCTCTATGTATTTTTATAACTATCCAAATCCGGTCTGATCTGATCTAGTCTGGCCTGGTCAAGGGCTAAAACAGTCCACATTAAAACACCTTAAATCAGCGCAGAAGAACTATAAGTATCAATTTGATAATCTCACAAAAGTAGATGTGGGTAAGTTGGACTAAAAATGAAAAAAACTAGGGTAAATCTCAACCGACCCAATAGTCTTCGAAAAGCCTCTCCCAAATCCGCAGCCCTATTAGTTATGGCCGGTATATTTCGTTACAGCATGCTGTTAGGACTCGCGCCAAATACCTAAAAATCGCAAACCCCTAGAGAGAGGCATACTTTTGGGTGCGCATAGAAATCGGGAGAGATTTCGAGATCGGGAAAGAGAAGCACCAGCCAGCAATTTAATCTTGTTTCGTTTTCTACTCAGTCACAAGCTCACAATGGCGGAGGGGGAGATTGACATTGAAAAGGAGCTGATAAAGATGACCTCTGATGTGGATGCTGCCAAACGACTATTCGCCCAAATCCTTCTAAATGCGCCGATCGCCGGTCTTCCGCCCAAATTGTGCGCTCTCTATCTCTTTTTTTGTTCTTTCTCGTTTTGTATGCTGTTAATACTTAATGAACTCTAAACCTCCTAACTACTTATCTGATTTCCCTGCACCATATATGTTCTAACTTCTGATATTCGCCTATTCCATTGCGGTTTCACTAATTCAAAAGCACACAAGTTTCGTGCGTTCAACAATTAATGATTTCGTGCGTTCAACAATTAATGATTTCGTGCGTTCAAAAGCACACAAGTTTCACTTTCTCGTGCTTTCCTTGCAACAACAAAAAATAATGCATGCTTTTATTTTTTTTAAATATGGTTTATTGCCGCCATTAGTTTTTTGTTTGTTTTTAGTTTACCATAAATAGTTTATCATCGCAACATATATAATTTTCAGCGGGGATATTTTGCTCAATTGGCTTATAGTAACTTGGTTCCCGTTGTTATTGACTGATTGCTTGTTTGTCCGCTTCACAACTCATGCTCCCTTTTTGTTTCCAGGTGTTTTCATTTGATTGGGAAACTGAAACTTTTTGCGCTTTAAGTGTGAACCATTTTTGCTTTTTCGTGAAATATCATGACAGGGATATATGTCTGGTTGTGCTGGCCACAGACGTTAGGAGGTCTTATAAACATTGCCTATAATAGCAGCTCAGGTTTATCCAGGTATGCATATTATTTTGCCTTTTCTATTTCACCATTGCTTATTTCTTATTTATATTCATTCCTTATGATTCCTTGGCTAGCCTACAACATACTGAGATTAAGCTTGGAAAATAAAGGATTAACTCATCATGATTGTTGTGGGTGAATATATATTTTGTTTTGTTGCAGTGACAGTAACCATAACAACCATAGCAACAACAGTCTTAGAAGTGACAACGGGAGTGAATCATTTTCATCCCATTCAACCGTTGAAGGTGAATGGTTAGAAGTCCTCACTGACAATGGCCATTTGCATATTGATAGAATCCTACCCCTGCTTCCTCCAGCCCCTCCAGAATTCCCACACTTCTACAAGCAGTGTGTTGAATGTGCTATAAAGGCATTAATGCATTATAATAAGAAGCACAAGGTCAGTTTCTTTACGTAGGTTCCGTACTTCCATTCTTTTTTCATCTTTTTTATTTCCCTTCCCTTGTAAAGTTATCCCTTTTTACTAAATAATCTAATTTTTGTTAGATTTGTGCAAGTCAGAGTTTTCCATTCTCTCGTAAAGTTGTCCTCTTTATACTAAATAATCTATTTTTTCAATATGTGTCAGGGTTCTGAGTATGAGCTTGTCGCTCCCCTGATTAGTTCTGCCATTCCTTCAAATTTTGAAAAATGCATGTATGTCTTTCATTGTAATTTCCTAGCAAAGGCCAAGACTTCTACCCCTTCTTCCAGCAAATCCCTTGTGGAGCTCTTCTATGCTGAGTTGCAAGCAGTCGGCATTTTAGAAGCTGATGATGAAGTCATATATTGTTGTATTGTGAGCCCCAGCCCTTCCTTTGGTATGTTCATCAAAATGTAACTTTTATGGTACCCTTGCTCAGCCTTTCTTAGCAAAATATACTTTTTCTCAAGCATTGATTTCCTTCCTTCCCGTTCTTATGTTTATGAGTTGTTATAATCTAAATAAATTTGTCTCTGAAATTGTTATAATCTACCATTATGCCCCTTTGTCCCTATGCTTTTTGAGCAACTTAGTGTTGATTTCTTATATGCAAATAATTGACACTAAATGTCTACATTCAATTTTACTTGCGCAAGAAATTAGGATGAAGGTGCTATAAGATAATGATTGACTGGTTTGTTTTGCTTGCTTTTACAGGCTCAAGTCCAGCCTCTCTTGATATGCAGATGATTCATCCCCCAGACTTACAATGCTCTTATTGCGGTATGGATGGTGAATCGGACTCGGATTGATGTTATGCGATTTGCCTCGACCCCCTTTTGTTTAGAATCTATTACTTAATCTGCATAAAGTTGACAAATAAGTTTAACTATGTTTATACTCAAAAGAAGACTTGTTTGTTCCTTTCCTTAATCATGTATTCATAATTTTTCTCTTTCTTTTATCGGACAAAACATAAGAGTACAAGTACCTGATTATAAATGTGTGGTTAAATGTGCACTCGAGCCACTGATTTTGTTCCTTTGGGTTCACATATTTATTCTTTAGCTCTTATATTTGGTTACACCTAAAGGTGGACAAGGTCCAATCCAGTTCCTGGATTGACTAGTCTGGCGGGATTTTGTTGGACCTGAAATCGGAATTGGTAATGATTATAGTTACGATTAGTTCTAGTTTTTTTGAATAAATACGATTAGTTCTAGTTGACTGGTCGTTTCTTGTCAACTGGAAGACCAAGTTTTTTTTTTTGAGAAAGAATATGTAAACATTCATAAATCAGACCGGGAAGCAACTTGGCCCGGTGATTGGGTCAGGGGTCACCTTGGTCCCAGAGGGTGAACCCGGTTAATGACGATATAATTGGTCAATGCTTATTGTAATACCAAGTATAAAAAAATACTTTGTATGCAGTGGCGGATCCAGAAAATCAGGGTCATGGAGTCCCTACCATAATGCTACTCTAATTAATAAAAAAAGAAGTAAAATATTAAGAGCTCGTTTGCTTAGCTTATCAGGCTTATCAGTCAACTTATTCACTAAACATGTAACTTTTGATTTCACACGCTGAATTGTGTAATAATAAGAAAAAATAAGGTTACAGTTACTTTCCTGGTTGCATTGGCGGAAATTATTGTATAAAATCATTTTAGCTATCTTTCATATAAATTTTTGCTTTATTTTATTAGTGAAATATATTTTGAATATAATTTTTTTGTAAATCAATAGAATCAGACAATCCAGTCACTTCAACCAGAATTTCATAAATTTTAGTGGAATCAATCAATATAGTTTATTTGAGTATTACCAAACAGGCTCTAAAGTAACATAACGTTTCATAGTTAACATACATTATCAAAATATTAACTAGTCATAACCTCTGTTCTAAAAATCGTTCTAGGCGCCCGACTAGTCCTCGCCTAGGCGCTAGGCGGTGGTCGGGCGCCCCGATTTTCGTCTAGGCGCTCCGACTAATTGGTTTTCCGTCTAGTTGAATTAGTCGGCCGCCTATGGCGCTTAGTTGCCCGCCTAGAGCGTCTAATCGGCCGCCTAGGCCGTCTAGATTCGTCGAGCATTACTTCACTATTTAATTTTAATCTTCTAAGTGATATATGTACTTTAACTTTAGCCATGGATATAAAGAAATGAAGTTGTAAATTAAGATAAAACTATATAGTCTGTATATATACCTAAATTTTATCATTATTTATATTTATAACATAATGAAGTTAAGTGATTAGTTATCCTATACTACATATGATTAAATGTGATAATTCTATCATTCATGTTTGTTAATGAATATGTATATATGTATTTTATACACACAAAAATACTATATTATGTATCATATTTATGCAAAAATATAGATAAAAATGCAATTTCTATGTATCCGACTAGTCCCCGACTAGGCGCCCGCCTAGGCGCTAGACACTGGGTTGGCGCCCGACTAGTGTATAGCGCCTTTTAGAACATTGGTCATAACACAAAAAATTACACATATATTTCATTCTACAATTGTGTAAATGTACCTTTTTAGGTTTCAGCATGTTGGTCTCGTAGATAATTAGTTAAATGAATTTCAAATTCAACAATCATTTGATCTAATTCTTCATTTAATAATGACGAACCATTTGAATTAAAGTCCGATTCATTGCTCCAGTTTTCCTGTTTTCTGGAAAACTGGAAAACTGGAAAACAGAAAACAGGAAACGTGTTTACCAAAGAAAATTGCTGGAAAACTGGAGAAAGGAAAACAGAAAAACGCGTTTACCAAATCGTTTTCCAAAACGAAAAAAATGAGATATGTCTCTCTTTTCCTCAATGATCTGAAGAAGTGACTTTTACTAGTTTCCTAAATTTGGAAAACGCAGATGCTAGAATGTCACTGCAATGAATTTGCATACTTACACATAAGGTGGACCCGCCCCGTGACTTGGCGGGGCGGGTCCGCCCCGCCCCATGACCTGCACGGGTCCAAACTTGTTGACCCATGACCCGCCCCATGCGGGGGGGGGGGGGGGGGGGGGGGTCCGCCCTGCCGTAACCTAATTAGCTAGTATGTATTTTTATTTGTGGGAAGTTGTTAGTTGTTACCAATTGAATCTACATAAAGTTTATCTCTAAATAATAATTAAAAATTAATATATTAAATCAAATTCATGATACCCTAAAAATTTCAAAAATTAAGGAAAAATTACTCATACTTGAATAGTTAATCTATTTAATTATACTAATAATTGAACATATGTATTAAAATGCTATATATAAAGAAGTCATTAATAATCTGTCGTTCATCTCATTCTAATATATGTATTAATATATTATTAGATCAAAGAATTTAAGATTTACTGTATACACACATATGTATGTTGAAGTATATATGTAGTATAATTTAAGAAAAAGTATGTATGCTTATGTATTGAGCGGGTCGGGTCGGCATGGGTCAATACTAATACTCGGACCCGCCCCATTGTATAGGCGGGGTGGGGCGGACCCGCCCCATTTGGAAGGCGGGGCGGGGCGGACCCGCCCCAAATGTCTTGGGCCAGGGCGGGTCACTGCGGGTCGGTTTTTTTGACATCCCTAGACCCTAACCCATCCACTACCCCCACCCAACCCCCTGCCCCTAGACCTTACCACCCCACCCCCGACCATACCCCTTACCCCACCCCGACCCCTACGAGTAGGTATGGGTGGGTATGAAGGGTTGTAGGGGAGTATGGGTAGAGTGTAAGATCGTGGTAAGGGTAGGGGTCAGGGGTGTGGAATTGGGTATATAGGGTGTAGGGTGGGGGTACGAGGTATAGGGGCGGGGTAGAGGTTAGGGGTATGAGTACACGTACGAGGTGATTGACCCCACATATTATATTATATATTTGTGTTTATGAATATTTGTGTGTCTATATATGTATAGAGTTATTTTGAACATTTTAATGTTAAACGGTGTTTTAAACCTTTTGAAATAAACATGATCTTACAACATTGCTTATTTTATGCGCCACTTATTATCGCATGTCTTAATAAGCAACATTTAGTAACCCGTGAAGTAAACGTGTCCTCAGTCTTCTGGATGATCACAGAACTGGGTGAAAAAATTGATGAACATGTTTTCAGATTTGAAAATGAAAAACTAAAAAATAGAAACAGAAAATTGGAGTTTGAAAAACTGAAAAATAAAAACAGAAAACTGGTGAACAAAAAACAGAAGTAGAAAACAGGAAAATATCTCTGTTAGTAAACATGCCCTTATATTCTAAATCGTAAAATATTGAAAAAACTATTCATGAATATCATACATTTAATTTAATAATTTAATCTTAACAAAAATTTTAATAATTAATTAAAAAAAATGAATTATACAAAGCGTAAACTTCAAAATAACGATCTCTTACACTAATAAATTTAAAAAAGCAAAAATTGGGTGTACAGGGAGTTTTCAAAATTATTATGATCTTTTACACTAATAATTTTAGAAAAGCAAAAAATGGGTGTCAAAGGGAGTCGAACCCGTTCTTCCGTCAAAAGAGAATCAAATCCACTCCACTACCTTTCTTCCACAACATTCATCTAAAATAATGCTATCTTTCTATGTATATATACATGTATTAGTAAAGTTTATATAAAAAATATAATATATATATATATAGACATATAGTTATTTTTTGGAGGTGCATGGGGACCCGGGACCCTTAGTGGGTCTGCCACTGAACACGGAATGGGGGGGCTCTATTTTTTTAGTTAACCTTTTAGAATAATACTATACGTAGTACGGAGTATATGTACAATAGTCCATTAATCACTTCTACAAACATGTCATTTCTATATTTGGTACTTACTACGGGTATTAGATTTAACTTAAGTGTGCACAAACACAATTTGTACTTCCTTATTTCATACTTTACCTTTTAGGTTTTACCTAAATGTGTTGATACACAATATTTTGTGGTTTCTTTCCCGTATCAATGTAAATATTAAGTGCAATGTTTATTTTAATTTAGAACAGTGCTGTTGTATACATTTATATATACGGGCACCAGGGCCGTCTCAGGGAATCTTGATGCCCCAGACAAAAATGATTAATGAGACCAATTAAATAGTACTTCAAATTAATAACATAATTAAATATGAAGTAATTAGAAAATTATTACACCATTTTTTACTAAAAGCCTGTTTGGTGTCAGCTTATCAGACTTATCAGCCAACTTTTTAACCAAACATGTAATTTTTGATTTCGCAAGTTAAATTGTGTAATAATAAGAAAAAGTAAAGTTGGAGTTACTTTTCGGGCTGTATTGGCTGAAGTTACTGTAGATGACTATTTTAGGTATTTTCATATAATATTTCTTTGTTTTATTAATGAAATATATTTTAAATATAATTTTTTCATGAATCAGCAGAATTAGTCAATACAACCACTTCAGTTAGAACTTCATAAATTTCAGCAGAATCAGCCGATTCAGACAATTTCAATGTTACCAAAGGGCTCTAAATGTAAAATGAAATACTTGACTTAAGATGGGTTTCATAAAATTTTAATTAACTTCATACGTACTAGGTTAATTTGGCTACTAGGGTAATAGAGTTAACTTCATATGTTAAATTCTTATTTTCTACTACCTCCGTCCCTAAATGTTCTTCCAAAATAAAGTGACACACTGATTAAGAAAGTGAGAATTGTGTGGTGGAGAGTTGTGCAGAGGAGAGAGAAATGTTGTGAACCACAAATTCTTTGCCAAAAAGGGAAAGTGACGTTCTTTTTGGGACGGACGAAAAGGGAAAGTTGGAAGTTCTTTTAGGGACGGAGGGAGTAATTCCTATTGAGCCAAGCTCCATCTGGCCAAGCTTCATAATCGGTTGATAATCCATAATCGCTTGTAAATATATAACTCCATTTAATTTGATTTGATTTTGATTTTTTGTAGACTTTGACTAATTTACTGACTATTCTAACTCGTTTCTCGTACTCCGGCTGTCACTAAAGGCCCAAAATGAATTGCAACTTGGTTATTTGGATACTCG